GCATTAGTTGAAGGATACGCATAGAAAATTTATTGTCTTAGACTTTTTACGCATGCTCCTTGTTTTGTCTATTCTATAAGTGTTTCTCAACTCGATTTCTCCATTTTTAGGAAGTCGAAATGAGTACACTGCATCCTGAGCTAAGTAATTCCGATGGAGATGCTTTGCCCCTTAAGACGTCTACTTCAGGCAAAAATGAGTTAAAATCCAGCTCCTTTTTGGCGCTTTGTCGATCCTGGCTTTGTCGGCTCTCGCCTCTTCTTGGTTTCCCTCCTGATCAGGTGAACAGAATAGAGCTTCTTGCTTTCGTACACTATGCGATCGCCTTCCCGAATCAGTTCTTCGGCCTCCTAGACACGTATGATGTACTTCGGTAAGCCATCCAGATATGATATTTTGTGCTTTCTTTTAGTGAATTATAGATCGTTTCTGTGTTTCAAATCCTTGCCGTAGACCCATTTGTTCAAGCCCAATCATAAACCGCACTGAGCTTCAATCGTACATCACAATGTGCCCTAGACTCATGTGTATTGCGGATGGATTTAGAGACATTGCAACTCAACTACCATCCTGAAGCTGGTACAATCACTTTCTGTTTAATATTGCCTAGATTCAGAACCAAGTACAACATTGAGTGAAATTTTTCCACAGCAATATGCGTTTAGCTCCATCATTCTATGTACACCAAGCTGTAGATTATGCATACGACAGAGTTTTTATGTAAAATCACGTTTACATTTAATGGGTTGACGTTGCTTAAATCCTCTCATAACATCATAAACTTTTTTGTTTGATTTTTGTGGCTTTGTTAATTAGCAAGGGCTATTCAATTTTTCCAGTACCAATTTTAAATTCTTCTTGGAGAAATACAAGGATATTTATGCATAATTTAAAAATTTAGTTCCTAGCTTATCTTCAATAAGATTCACTTGTGATCAGATCCTCATGCTCACCTATAAACTCGTTAGCTTCCTTAGGACGATACGGACTAGGCGCATTCTTATTCGCTCATAGCTTCGTGTTTTTCTAGCATTTATAAATACTCGATTACTATAGCAAATACAACTTTGCTTCATCGACAACCCCACCGCAGAATGTGATATAGCAAAATATATGGCCTTCCTTGAACTTCATATTTGCCCTAGGGTCCAAAGGTAAGCGTGGCAGTCTGGCGTAGTGGTTAACGTGTCGAGATTATACGCTGCACTACTACAACCAGCATTTGAGCCCCGCTAGTGGTGCTGATGAGACCGAAGTCGAAACTGCATACACTCAAGCCGTAATCTGAATACCTTTTGGGAAGCAGGGCTAGGTGAAATTTAATGGAAACAGGACCTATTCATATGATTGTGAGAAAATTTAACCTCCAGTTCTTCATCGCGTCATAGGAAATAGAGGGATTACATCTCATATTGTGTTTTAGTTAGTTTTTCCTTCTTAATTGTATAGAAGTTATTTGACGAGTTGTGATTGGGTGCTAAGGATGGCAAGACTCACTGATGATGTCGGCGAAACGTCTGGTAATGTTTCACGTCCACGGTCCGATTCTGGAAATGATAATGCATACAATAGACTCCGGGCTAGATGCGTTCCTCTAAA